TCCGTCACCAGCGGGGGCGCGCCCGCGTAGAACACAGCCGGCCCCGCCGCATCTGGACCCCCGACAGCCCAGCCGGCGCCGTCGACAGAGGACAGCAGAAGCGCGCGCTCCCAGGAGCCGCCCTCGCGCCACCGGCGCTGCTGGCGCGCCGCGCGGGGGTCGTCGGTCCAAAGCTCTGGCGGCGGCGCGAGCACAGGCGGGATGACCGCCCCCCACAACGCCCGCAGCAGCGGCCGCATCACGCGCAGCCGCGCGGCGGCGCCGCAAGTCAGCGGACGGTCAGCCGATTCGAGGCCGCCGGGCGGCTGCCAGGCTTGCTGCTGCTTCTGCTGCTGCTGCTGCTGCTGCTGTTGCTGCTGTTGCTGCTGCTGTTGCTGCTGCTGTTGCTGCTGTTGCTGCTGTTGCTGCTGTTGCTGCTGTTGCTGCTGTTGCTGCTGTTGCTGCTGTTGCTGCTGTTGCTGCGGCTGCTCATTATGCTGGTGCGAACCCTCATTCATTTGCTCCGCGTTGTGCTGCTGCTGCTGCTGCTCCTGTTTGAGCTCCTGCTGCTGCTCCTGCTGCTGCTCCTGCTGCTGCTCCTGCTGCTGCTCCTGCTGCTGCTCCTGCTGCTCCTGATGCTGCTGGTCCTTGATTGACGATTGCTGCTGCTGCTGCTGCTGCTGCTGCTGCTGCTGCTGCTGCTGCTGCTGCTGCTGCTGCTCCTGTCCCTTGCTCACCTCCTGCTGCCTCTGCTGCTGCTGCTCCTGCTGCTGCCCATGCTGCGAGCTGCCAGCCGCCCCCGGCTCCACCAGCCGCCGCCGCAGGCACGGCGCGTCCGACGCCAGCGGAACCACCAGCATGCACCCAGTCCGCCACAGCCGCCCCCGCGCGCGCGCCGCCGCCGACCCCGCCTGCACCCCGCCGCCGCCCTCGCCCCCGCCACAGTCCCAGTGCTCCGACCAGGACTGCGCCACGCGCAGCGCGCGCCGCCGCCGGCCGCCGGGCCGCAGCTGCCGCGAGAGCTCCCAGCGCTCAAAGGGGTCAGCCGCCGCGAGCGCCGCCACCTCAGCGGGCGCGAGGCCCGCCAGGCGCGTGAATCCGAAGCACCCGCTGCGCACCGGCCCGCCGCCGCCGCCGCTGCTGCTGGCGTGAACGTCGGCAGCCGCGGCGG